TTTTTTTGCGGTATGCGGACCTCTCACTGTTGTGGCCTCTCCCGTTGCAGAGCACAGGCTTCAGATGTGCAGGCTCAGCAGCCACGGCTCATGGGCCCAGCCGCTCCGCGGCATGTGGGATCTTCCCGGACCAGGACACGAACCCGTGTCCCCTGCATTGGCAGGCGGACTCCCAACCACTGCGCCACCAGGGAAGCCCATAGCAAGTAACCGTTTGATGTCTGACTACATGTTCATGTTTTTTTGTTTTTCAGCAAAAATTGCTATATATCCTGGCTCTTGCCTTACCTCTTTGGAACAGTCCCTCAGAGTGAACTGAGAGGCTATAGTCCTCAGAAAGTCTGCTGACTAAAACACAGTTCTCAACTTTTAGGTTGTACAATCTTTTTTTTCAGTTGACACTGGTTTGGTGCTAAAACAAATTGTTTTTAGGCAACTTTTAGAGGGAAGCATCCATTTAGTGACTAAATTTCAGAAGTGTTCACATTTCTTAGATTAGCATACGTTATTTTTGACAACATTCATTAAACTCTTTTTAATTAAACTCTTTTTTGACCCTAAATATCCTCAACATGGTCATTGGTCCACAATCTACAATGATTTGGGCAAGTCTGTATAGAAGAAATGATTGTAGCAAAGAAGTTGAAAGTAAACCTTATCTCCAATACTGGGGCAAAACTCTCCATCCTAGACCATGGCACAGTTACTTTCCTGCTAGCCTGTCCCGCAACTAGTAATAGTGCTTTTTGTGGTGTATATATACAATGGAATGCTACTCAACCATGAAAAAAAAATGAAATTTTGCCATTTGCAGCAACATGGATGGACTTGGAAGGCATTATGTTAAGTGAAATTGGTCAGAGAGAGAAAGACAAATCCTGCATGATATCGCTTATGTGTGGAATCTAAAAGATACAACAAACTAGTGAATAAAACCAAAAGGAAGCAAACTCACAGACATAGAGAACAAATTAGTGGTTACCAGTGGGGAGACGGAAGGGGGGAGGAGCAATGTAGGGGTGGGGGGAAAAGTTATTATGGGATTATATGAAATCATGTGTGTGAAAGTTGCAAACTGTAAAGCACTATAGAATTTAAAGAATTTTTCATGCAGTTAAAAAAAAAATTTAAAAAACCCCACATCTGACTCCTTAACACTTTCCATTATCTAGAACTTCAATGGCTTCCCATCCTTCGTGGATTGGAAATGTAACTCCTTAAGGCTCTTAACTCACCATACACTCCACAGTCCAGCCCTTGCTGGTCTCTCTTGTCTCCTCTCATGCTCCACTCCTTTTCCGCATCTGAGCTTCCCTTAGATCACTGAACAGAGTATACTTCCTCACCTCTGCACCTTGGCATGTACAGTTCCCACACATAGAACTCTGTCCCCTCTTTATCACTGCCTCATCTCTACCCAACAGCTATTCATCCTTCAGGTGTCAGCTCAAATGTCTTTTCATCAAAGGTTCTTCCCAAGCCTCCAACTAGGTAAAAACCTCCCCCATCCCCACTAAATTACAGGCAGACCTCAGAGGTAATTGTAGGCTGTGCTCCAGATCACCCCAATAGAGCGAGTATTGCAATAAAGAGAATCATGAATTTTTTGGTTTCCCTGTGCCTATAAAAGGTACGTTTACACTATACCACAAACTGTTAAGAGTGCAATAGCATTTGTCTAAAAAAAATAATGTACATACCTTAATTTAAAAATGCCTTATTGCTAAAAAAGGCTGCCCATCATCTGAGCCTTCAGCAAGTTGTAATCTTTTTGCTATAGTAACATCAAAGATCACTGATCACCATAGCAATACATTAATAATGAAAAAGTTTGATATATTGTGAGGATTATTAGACTGTGACACAGAGACACGAAGTTTGATGCAGGGGTGCCACAAACCTTCAATTTGTAAGAAAAAATGCAACATTGGCTAAGTACAATAAAGCGAAACAGTAAAATGCAACATTGGCTAAGTACAATAAAGTGAAACAGTAAAATGCAACATTGGCTAAGTACGATATAGCGAAATGGTAAAATGAAGTCTGCCTTTATAGTCCTAGAGCACCTTGTTCTCATTCTTACACTCATTACATCTGACTACAATTGCATGTTCAATGTCCATCTTCCTACAAGTTCGTAAATTCTGGAAGATTGGGAATCAATTCTGTATTGTTAAATTCTAAGCCCCTTGTTTTCCAGTGTCTGATACCCAATAGACACTTGGTGAATCTTTACTGAATAAGAGCAATAGATTTCAAGGTTAATGTGAACAAGTAGAAAAGGCTATTTTGACGTCTGAGAATTAACACCCAATAACTTAACTATGACTCTCTTGTTTGTTATATTTTACACATTTCCATTGTTCATGGGCAAAATTCTGACAGTAAGGAATTTTTTTCCCCTAAGAAATCTTTTGTCTTCTTGGATATGAATACATTTTGTTGTTTCCACAAAACATTGTAAGATGGCTGGAGCATACTACATTCATTTTATCATGAAGAAACTGATATTCAGACAGTTTAAGGGATTTTTTTCTAAGTCTTAGAAAACCCTGACCTTTTTGACTAAAGTCCTGTGTCCTTTCACCTACAGGGCACTTCCTTAGAAACTGGACGTTTTAATTTTTAATGCTTGTGTGGTAATAAAAAAGAGAAGTGGACCCGGAGGAGACCGAAATGCTAGTCCCAACCCTGCCATTTGCTTGATCATTTAATGCCTTGTAGGCATCCTTTTCATCTATGAAGTGGGGGAATTGGAGTCATGATCTCAGAGATGCCTCCTATCACTGCTATGAACTACAGGGAAGTAAAAGTTCAAAGTAAATTTTTTCAAAGAAACTGTAGTGTCAATGTCTTGTCAGGGATGGACACAATAATTGTCCATTTATATAAAAATTTCTTAAAAATATGACCATGGGGGCTTCCCTGGTGGCGCAGTGGTTGAGAGTCCGCCTGCCGATGCAGGGGACACGGGGTCGTGCCCTGGTCCGGGAAGATCCCACATGCCGCGGAGCGGCTGGGCCCATGAGCCATGGCCGCTGAGCCTGCGCGTCCGGAGCCTGTGCTCCGCAACGGGAGAGGCCACAACAGTGAGAGGCCCGCGTACTGCAAAAAAAAAAAAAAAAAAAAAAACCATGATAAATATTAAAGGTATGTTGGAAATGATATCAATTTGGGTAAATCACTCTGTGGGTCCCATTTTAACAAGAAGATTCCCTTCCTCTTGCATGGGAAATGAAAGAAAATAAGTATCGAAGGCAACTTGGAGGTTGAAAAATAAATGTATTCATACCTTTATGCAAAAGAAAAAAACCCATTGAGCATTTTCTATGTGCCAGGCACTGTTCTAGGCCCTGAGAGCTGCATGCATGTAGTCAGGATACAAGATCTGTGGGATAAACAGTTTCACCTGTGTGTGCCCAGCACCAGGAGACAATGCCCCAGCAATGTTTGCTAGAAGGAAGGAGAGGGGCTCTGCTCAGGAGAACCCACACAGAGGTCTTCTGAACTGATTCTTGGTGCAAAAGAGTGCCCCCCAGTTTTTTCCACCAATAAGCTATATCCTTGAGTTCCTGCTTACTCTGAAGAAAACAACCTCTCTTTCAAGCCACAGTCTGGGATTTATATGTAGCAGAGATGGCTCTGTTCCCAGGAGGTTTGGGCGTATTTAAAAACCTTGGACTGGAAAAAGAACAGTAGGAACAGCTATTGGTATAATGCTTCACGCTTCCATATTAAGGTTTCTGTCCCCTTTCCTCCTTCCTCACTAAACTACAAAGAGGAAGACTGTGATTTGTTCTCTGACATTCATTCCGTGCATTTCTAAATAAGAGGAATTCATTTTTAATTTTTAGTTTATGATTTTATGAATTTTATGAATGCATACACATGAGAACTTTGAGCATAAGGTAAAAATCAGATTGTAAATACAGTTTCTCTGATTTTGAGGTTTTACTGGCTCTGATTAGCGAAAAGGAAGAAGTAATGTATCACATTCATGTTTATTTCAGATCCTTTGGACTACTGCAGTAAACATGTCATAAAAAATAAAACCAAAAAAATAAATTTCAAAAAAATGAACATGTAGTAGATCACATCACATGTTATCATTTCAGATCCTTTAAATTCCACAAGTTATCACTGCCTTACCCATCAATCTTTTGGCCTGGTTTTTCATGACCTTGAAGAACTCAACCTTCAGAACGGTTCCTTTTTCTTTACCAATATTCCTTCAGTATTAGTGGTAATAGTCTTGACACTTTTAAACGAGACAATATCAATCCACGAGGAATTGTTTTTTAATAATTTTACAGATACCTTTATCATAAAAATCATTTAGGTCACAGTTCTCTGCCTTGCCATCTCCAATCCAGGGTAAGTGATACTATACCTTATTAGGAAATTGTTTTAGTTTTGGCAATTTGATTTCCTTTCTTATTTTATAATTTCTATGTTTATATAGTATTGAAGAAAAAATTACGTGCATTCTTCTTAATAGGAGCTCAATATTATGCCTTCTGAACTGGTTCTAAGTTAAAACTTTAATTCCAAGCTAATCTTGAATTATTAGAAATGTTGTTAAATATTTCATATAATCGTTAATGGAGTGTGGGGTTAAAGGCACAGTTCTTCCTAAAATAAAGTACAAAATTGTGCTTTTCTTTGCTGAGAAAAATCATAAGACCAGAAAGGTAAATATTAACTCTATATTCCTGTCTTGTCATAACACGGATTTCAAATTTTAATTTAAATGCACATTCTCTGGCCATGACTAATATTTTCAATTTTCTCTTCCTTCAACACATACACCAGTTTAAGGTTTCATTGCCTTTCATTTCAACCTTGTCGAAATAGACAAGGTTAAACAGAATCTAAACATACTCGGTTTGAATACTTTCCTCACTCACCGGCAATTCACTCTTACTAGAGAGCATTCTGTGAAATCCTAATCTACATTCTTCAGCAATCTGGCAAATAGCCACCCCAGGGGCCGTACAAACCTTTATTGGTCACTTCCCAAGCGACTTCAAAGAGCAGTAAATCCTCCACAAGGAGTCCGACTTCCCACCGGGGAAGCCCACCCAGGGATGTCACAGATAGGGATCGGCCTCGGAGCATTCTTCCTTCAGTTCTCTGGCACTTTTGAATCCCTCTTTCAATGAACTGTAATCCTAGGAGTGGTGCGCGTTAGGGACTCAGAGGTTCAGAGCTGGTAGATCACAGGCTTTGGTAGCTTCTCGTAGGAATAAACCAGCAGAAAGAAATCTCATGGCCTTCCCAGAGAATTTCCAATGGAAGGCAGAATTCTCGGCTCCTTTTACAGTCTTTCTGGGAAGGTCCAGTGAGGACACTATCTCCGATCAATATCTACCCAAACAACCCAGAGCAATCACAAGTAAAACCCTCCAGTTTGGGGCTTAAGTAAGCACCCCCTGGGATAATGGAATCTTCACAGGCTGATCATGACGTGAGTCCGGACATTTAGCCCTTGTCCTCTTGACCAAACTCCTAGACTCACACAGTCACCAGTACTTATTTCATCACCTCCAAAGTGATCCAGGAGTAGCAGTTCCCCTTATAAATTTTGCAGACCGTTGTACGTTACATGTAGAATTGACTGGGATGTATTTCTAAGCTCTAAATCCCTTTAGATTTCCTAAGTAAGTATTATTTTTTCTCTTGATTCCCATTTCTAGATCACTAAGAAAAATTATTTCTACTTATTTTATTCTACATTGACAAATCTAATTTTGATGATAGGCATCGATCTTGGTTCCCCTTTCCTTAATTACTTTTCTTAAAAAATTTCCCTATGGAAATGCCAGGATGTCTTTGAGTATAACATACAAAGAATGTAATTTTGACTGACCCATTATCATCAGACCATCATTTTAATGAGGTTGTAGAAATTAATTTTAGTCATATTTGTATAATTACCTCAAATATTATCAAATTGATAAAAAATAATTCAATGGATGTAAAAGTGTTCAAATATGGGAAGAAAATTGCAAAAGACATTAAGTTCTGAAATATGATCAGGATCAGCCTGTCAATAAATGCTATAAATATATATTTTTTCCCATGTGTTTGTATGTATATAAGCATGTATATGCTAATTTATTTACACACACAGCTACACTCTATATTGCTCCTATAGGGAGTAAAGACATTCACAAAATGAATGTTTTGAAACCTCTTACTTTACAGTTTTAGCCTACAATCAATATGTTTACATTATTATTCCATATAGCAGCAGAATTGAAATTCACGCAAAATATCCTTCACGTTAGAATTATGAGCAGAATTCTCACAGAATTGTTACTTGTTAGTACTTTTACTATTTTAATTTTTTACTATTTATTATAACTAATCTTATTTGTTACTTCTTAGTACTAAAACCTAATGAAAGATTCTAACATTTTAGAGTTAGAAAGGTTAGAATCTTTAATTAGGTCTTTAGCCATTTTCTGTACAGGGGGCCTTACCTACTTAAGCATATTTTAATGACTCAAGATAGAGAAAACCATATTTCATTATCTGATATTAATAAATCAATGTGAATCAAGTAGATTATAAATCTCTTCCATGATTCAGTGACGTATTTGATTCTTATCTTTGTAAATTTAAGTATATAGTTTATTATCCATTCATTCAAGTGGTGGGAAGAAATTTAAACGGCTAATCAAAAAATTCAAGCACTAGAATAATAAAAATAGGAGCCCAAATTACCGAAAGTGACTTTCTGCTTCACAAAATGACTTGCTTGTGTTGACATAACCCCTGTGAGTCCTGCAAATAAAAATTCCAATAAAACCAAACAGAAGGACATGTTGACAGGAAGTGAGAACAGGGTGACAGGGTTGTGACAGTGCTTGAAGTTTGCAGTGTCTAGTCTCAGCAACCCTGAGAGTGGTTTCTCCAGGATTGAACAGGCCCCAGGATAGCTGATCCACATTATCCAAATTACACTGTGAGACTTTATTCATTCACGGTATGTGCCAGGTATCACGTGCTTGGTTGTAAGTTCATCACTTGTGAGGGCAAGTCCAATCTGCCGCTTATCAGCTATGTAACCTCAAGCCAATTGCTTAACTAAGTTTTGATTTTCTTACTAAAGTGAAGATGAGATCATTTGTGTAAGGGACTTAGTATAGTGCCTGGCACTATACTGACCTCTTTAATAACTTCCAGCCTTATTTATAAGACATATAGTGGTCACCTAAAAGCTTCCCCTAAGAGCAGTGGTTACTATTGGAGAGAAGAGGAGTAAAAAGGAAGCTTACTTTTCTTGAATTTTATTTATTTTATTTTATTTTTTTTGCGGTATGCAGGCCTCTCACTGTTGTGGCCTCTCCGGTTGCGGCGCACAGGCTCCGGACGCGCAGGCTCAGCGGCCATGGCTCACGGGCCCAGCCGCTCCGCGGCATGTGGGATCTTCCCGGACCGGAGCACAAACCCATGTCCCCTGCATCAGCAGGCGGACTCTCAACCACTGAGCCACCAGGGATGCCCTTCTTGGTTGATTTTAATCTCTATCTTTTCCCTGTAATAAACCATAACTGTGAGTATAACAAAAAAATAGTGAGAGGGCAATTAAGAAAAAAATGAAAATTCATATTTGGTTTCCTTGGTAAATATTCCAGCAGAGGTCACCAGATACATTTAGAAAACCACATATTTGCTTTGCTATTTGGCAATCTTCTTGGAGGTCTTTAGGATTTCAAAGGCTTGATTAGCCTGCACCTGCATATCCAGAAAGATTCTGTTAACATATATATGGAGCACCTACTGTGTACTACTATTATAGGAGCTGAAGTTATTTTCAATAATCAGTATACAAGTTGCTGCCCTTGTGTGAACAGATAGACATTAACCATGTAAGCCAATAAATGAATATATTATTTCCGGGGCAGCTAAGTTTCTGAAGAAGAAAAACCACAGTGGTAGAGAATGCTACTTGATAGAAATGGGTGCTTTAGCTGGGGAGGGCAAGAAAGATGACTCTGAGGAAGTATTATTTGAATTGAGACAGAAATAATGAAAAAGAGGCAACACTTGAAGATCTGGGAGAAGAGAGAGAAATGCCTTTAACTCACACAGGAACAGAAAGATCAATGTGCTTAGGGCCCAGAGTAAAATGAATAAGAAGTCTGGAGGGGAGAAAGTCAGAGACAAAAGCAGAGAACAAATCATAGAAAAGCTGGTTGAGAACATGCATTTTATCCTGGTTACACTGGAAATTCATTGAATGGTTTTATGCAGGGTAGTAATGTGATCTTATTTATGCTCTGAAAAGATTTCTCAGTTTGCTCTATGAAAAATGGAATATTGAGAAGGGCAAGAGAGGAGGAATGGAATCTGAGGTTTTGAAGCCTGCCTATCAGTCACAAATTCTAGAATGTAAGACTTTATCCCTCCCATAGATAATCTCCGGTTTTCTTCTCAATGCTATAAGAGCAGCAATGAACATGTTATTAACATTTGATCTTTTTCTTCTTAAGGTAAAGAAAATGCCTTTCCCTATATAGTTCATTTCTAAGCTCTCACTTGTCCATTGTCTGTAGTGTATTATGCATGGGTTGTTGCTGTGACTACAGAAACAAGATCAAAATGGAGAATTAAATGCAGTATGTCAGGTACTGTGATCAGAATTCTTGACTTTGTGAAGTTTACATTCTAACAGGGAAAGTCACTATGAAACAAGTAATTAAAGGGCTTTGAGAGTGATGAATTAAACATATGTAATGATAGAATTAACATAACTAGATATAGAGAATGATCTCCTAAGAAAAAGAAATAAGAGGAAATCAGAAAGGAAGAAGTAAAACTGTCACTATTTTCAGATGACATGATATTATATATAGAAAATCCTAAAAACTCCACCAGAAAACTGTTAGAACTAATAAATGAATTCAGTAAAGCTAAAGGATAGAAAAATCAATGTAACGAATAAAATACTAGGAATCAATTTAACCAAAGAGGTAAGAGACATATACACTGAAAACTGTAAGATATTATTGAAAGAAATTGAAGAAGACACAAAGAAATGGAAAGATAGTCTGTGTTCATGGACTGGAAGAATTAATATTGTTAAAATGTCCATACTATCCAAAGCAATCTACAGATTCAATGTAATCCCTATCAAAACTCTAATGGCATTTTCACAGAAATAGAACAAACAATCCTAAAATTTGAATGGAATGACAAAAGACCCCAAACAGTCAAAGAAATCTTGAGAAAGAGCAAAGCAGGAGGCTCACACATTTTGATTTCAAACTATGTTACAAAGCTATAGTAATCAAAACGTATGGTATTGGCATAAAAACAGACACATAGATCAATGGAACAGAATAGAGAGCCCAGAAATAAATGCACACTGATATGGTCAATTAATTTATGACAAAGGAGCCAAGAATATACAGTGGGGATAGGACAGTCTTGTTAATGAATTGTGTTGAGAAAACTGGACAGCCACATGCAAAAGAATGAAACAAAGTCACTCTCTCATATCATACACAAAAATTAACTCAAAATGGATTAAAGATTAAACATAAGACCTGAAACCATAAAACTCCTAGAAGAAAACATAGGAAACAAACTTCTTGACATCAGTCTTGGCAACGTTTTTATTGGAATTAACAACAAAAGCAAAAGCACCAAAAGCAAAAATAAACAAGTAGGACTACTTCAAACTAAAAAGCTCCTGCACAGAAAAGGAAACCATCAACAAAATAAAAAGGCAACCTATGAATGGGAGAGAATATTTGCAAATCATATATGTGATAATATATAAGAAACATATAACTCAATAGCAAAAAAAAAAAATCTGAGTTAAAAATTGGCAGAGGATCGGAATAGACATTTTTCCAAAGAAGACATACAGGTGGCCAACAGGTACATGAAAAGGTACTTAACGTCACTAATCATCAGGGAAATCCAAATCAAAACCACCAAGAGATATCACATCACACCTGTTAGAATGGCTATTATCAAAAAGACAAAAAATAACCAGTGTTGGTGAGGATGTGGAGAAAAGAGAATCTTTGAACACTAAACTGATGTAGTCACTATGGAAAACAATCCAAAAAATAAAAAATAAAACTATCATATGATTCAGC